GAGAATATATACAAGATGTTCTATTATGGCCAATTCTTCTGCAACGACCACATTTGAATATTATTTTTGATGATTCGGTAGCTGGAATATGCCTTTTCTTATAGCCTTCTACCTGGCGGGACTTTGAAAGCTGGAGGTTTAATAACTTGTGACTTAACACTCTCTGGTACAATCCAAGAATCCGTATGTCCTACAGGATGTATTTGTCTTTCATATATTTTCAGTCAAGATTCCTTTAAGTACCAGTCTGAGCAGAAATTGGACTTCTTGATGTTTCTCTTCTCGATAGCTGCAATTGCATGTATACATGGTAATTCATCAAATTGAAACTGAAAACAATCACATGTTCTTTTGTTTAAGTCCACCAAGAAAGTAATTCATTCTTCCTCAACTCTAGAACGCCATGAATCAACAGGGAAGACCTTCAAAGTTGAAAAACTATAAGTTAGTACATTATGTTAAATTATCATTAAAATAATAAGCTAAAGTAAGAACATAATACTTACATTTAAAGTAAAAGCTAAATCTATCTTTTTCTTCAATTCCTCTTCTACCCAACAAGAAACGTCATAAAAAGTTCCTTCTGCTTCATTTCTTCTTTCATAAAACCAACATTGTAGCTTCACTTGGATGAAATCCATCATTCTTAATATAGGCAACTCCCTTGCTTCTAATAGCACAGAATTTATTGACTCAACTATGTTTGTTGTGAGCATGTCATATCTTCGTCGTGGACTACAAGAACATGCCCACCTTTCTGGTGGTTCTTCCATCAAGTAGTCAAAAGTCTTCTTATTAACTTTTGCTATATCTGACATGTATAGATCAAATTCTTTGCGTCTGTATACTCTTGCAGCACTTTGAAAAAGTTTTATGACCTCACTTTTCACTTTCCTTTGCTTTAGGTTCTGCTCCAAATGATAGATACAAATCCCATGGTGGCTTTCAGGATATACCTTTGCAATGCCATGTGCAATAGATTGATGCATGTCCGATAAAAAAATTAAATTATCACGGTTCCCAATTGCATTGCGAAGCTCACTAAAGTACCACTAATAGGAATTGTTATTTTCAGATTCTACAATTCCAAAGGCTAGTGGGAATATTTGATTATTTGCATCCTTTGAAACTGAAATTATTAAAACACCACAATATTTTGACTTCAAAAATATTGTATCAACAGCAGTCACTCATCTACAATGATTCCAACCAGCTATTGATGATCCATATGCATAAAACATATTAAAAAAACCCTGAAAATACAGTTTAACAAAAGGTTAAAAATACAGGACACCAAATCCTTAACATTTACACTGCACACATCAAAGTTAAGGACATCTTGTCCTTAATATTTTGACTGCACATATCAAAGTTAAGGACACAATGTCCTTAACATTTTCAGTGCACACATCAAAGTTAAGGAGAACTTGTCCTTAACTTTTAGAATGCACATATCAAAGTTAAGGACACCATGTCCTTAACTTTTACAATGCACACATCAAAGTTAAGGACACCATCTCGTTAAGTTTTTTACTGCACACATCAAAGTTAAAGACACCATGTCCTTAACTTTTTCACTGCACACATTAAAGTTAAGGACACCATGTCCTTAACATTTTCACTGCACACATCAAAGTTAAGGATACCACATCCTTAACATTTTTACTGCACACATCAAAGTTAAGGACACCATCTCGTTAACTTTTTCGATGCACACATCAAAGTTACCTTAAGTTTTTCACTACATACATTCAAGTTAAGGACACCATATCCTTAATATTTTTACTGCACACATCAAAGTTAAGGACACCATGTCCTTAACATTTTCACTGCACACATCAAAGTTAAGGACACCATGTCCTTAACTTTTATAATGCACACATCTAAGTTAAGGACATAATGTCCTTAACTTTTTTACTACACACATCCAAGTTAAGGACACAATGTCCTTAACATTTTCACTGCACACATCAAAGTTAAGGACATCATGTCCTTAACATTTTCACTACACACATCAAAGTTAAGGACACCATGTCCTTAACTTTTTCATTGCACACATCCAAGTTAAGGATACCATGTCCTTAGCCTTTTTACTGCACACATCAAAGTTAAGGACACCATGTTCTTAACATTTTCATTGCACACATTCAAGTTAAGGACACAATGTCCTAAAGTTTATAAAACAGACTAATAAACTCTTTTTGATTGTTTACCTGTTGTTGTCGTCTATCTTTATGTTAGTGTATGTTCCCGGATTTTTACTTTTCATCATATACAAGTATGAAGACAATAATTCATAATTCTCTTCAGGAGTTCCTCTTATTAAAGCTGAAGCACGTTGAATAGCACGCCACGCCTTGTGATAACCAATGTCTAGTCCATGCAATTTTTGTATTTCTGCCATGACAAAGGCTGGTGTATCTTCAAACCTTGGGTCTCGAAGATTGTCGATAATGTAACCACTAATCAACTTTGAAGTTGCATGCCTTTGATCAGATTTCATAGTGTTAATTGAGCAGACTTGATTTTTCTCAATCTTTACTATCTTGAATAGTGTTGAATCTTTAATTCTGAAAGCACGCACACACCACCCACACCTATCATCATTTGCATTTCAATGAATATCTTGTTGAGCTTGATCTAACAACTTTGAATTCAAAATGATCTTTAATTGTTATATTGGAAAAACAGTTAATTATACTCTTCTTTTTGTCAAATATTGATCCCACTTTTATTTCATTCAACGAAGCATTTTCCCTTAATATCGTAGTTGGGGATTTTTTTTGTTTCGAATTTGAGCTTTGTCTAGTTAGTTGAGTAAAGGTTTTTTCAGCAACTTCTTCTATTACCGGTGCACTCTCTAAGACTTGAATACCCAAAGCTTGTTCGTTGTCAATATCTATAATGCTTTGTCCTTCTACTTGAATAGAATCAAATGTTTGAAGCACCTCTTCAGTTATTGGTTGAGCTTCAACCACATCTATTTCCATTATCTGTTGGCATTTTTCTTGATTGTCTTGTTGAGTTTCTGTATTGACATGTTCAAAGGTGCTTATAGAATCAAAAACTCTTTCTGAAATATCAACAATGAAACGACAGCCCTTGAAGAGTGAATGACTTTTTAGTAACTCTATACATGTGTGAAGATCTAAATCTTTGGATACAAGCATTCCCTTGCTTGTTCCCAGATTGATATCAAACCATATCATTGCTTCAAACTTGTCTCTATCCAATTCAATAACTTCAAATACCTGGTTAATGAAATCTTCAAATCGAATTGCCTAAGGTACTAGAACAAGCTTTATTTGATGATCAAGATACTTATAGTCTGCAGTCCATCTACCATTAAAAGCAACTATAATACATATTGTATCCATCCTGCAAGTCAAGAAAATGGAAAATTCAGGAAATATTTATACAACAATCGTGAAGTTAAGGACAAGATGTCCTAAACTTTATCAATACAAGTTGCAAAACACAGGACACCATGTCCTTAATATTTAGAACAAAAGTCATGAAGTTAAGGATATCATGTCCTAAACTTTATCAATACAAGTTGCAAATACAGGACACTATGTCCTTAATATTTACATAGTAGTCATGAAGTTAAGGACATCATGTCCTAAACTTTATTAGTATAAGTTGCAAAAACAGGACACTATGTCCTTAATTTTTACACAGTAGTCATGAAGTTAAGGACATCATGTCCTAAACTTTATCAGTACAAGTTGCAAAAATAGGACACTATGTCCTTAACTTTGATGTGTGCAGTCAAAATGTTAAGGACATGGTGTCCTTAACTTGGATGTGTGCATTGTAAAAGTTAAGGACAAGTTGTCCTTAACTTTGATGTGTGCATTGTAAAAGTTAAGGACAAGCTGTCCTTAACTTTGATGTGTGCAGTGAAAATTTTAAGGACAAGTTGTCCTTAACTTTGATGTGTGCAGTGTAAATGTTAAGGACAAGCTATCCTTAACTTTGATGCATGCAGTGAAAATGTTAAGTACATGGTGTCCTTCACTTTGATGTGTGCAGTGAAAATATTACGGACATAGTGTCCTTAATATTTAGAACAACAGTCATGAAGTTAAGGACATCGTGTCCTTAACTTTATTAATACAATTTGCAAATACAGGACACTATGTCCTTAATATTTAGAACAACAGTCATGAAGTTAAGGACATCGTGTCCTTAACTTTATTAATACAAGTTGCAAAACACATGACACTTTATCCTTAATATTTTTTAGAACATCAGTCATGTTAAGGACACCAAATCCTTAACATTATGTCCTCAATATTTACAGAACAATCACAGAGTTAAGGACGCGATGTCCTTAACGTTATCAATACAGAAAAGAAAAAAAAATAAATTCCTAGCATCTTATTCTTCAGTAACGAAATAAAAATCCACACAAACACACAAAAACATATAGAGATATCTGAAACTTTAGAACTTACTGTAATTTTATGGTGAATTTTGGACGAGAAAGTTGAATTCTGAACTTAGACAAAAAGTTTGAAATCGGAAGAGAAGCTTCTGCAATTTTGGACGATCACAACAATTCTCTGCACGTAAGTTTGCACGTAAGTTTGAGCTGCTGCTGATCGTGAATAAGGAGTGTATGTATCAGCGAAATCCTATATAGCAGAAGGGTATTTTCGTCCGAGCGGGTAAAAGTTTATTAAAGCAGTGGCTAAAGACTAAATACATTTAAAATAGTGGCTTAAAAGTAAATACATGTGTTGTTATTGACTATCTGTGCACATCACCCCTCATTTTACATCATAAATTCAAAAGTCTTTCTCTCTTTTTTTAAACTTTGTGCTCGGTGAAATGAGTTCAGGTAAATTGAAATTGAAAGTAAAAGGAATATGTAAATACAGTGTCTGTTTCCTCGTTCTCAACACCTTCTTGGCTTTGACCTCAGCAATTAAGAAACATCTTCGGTCTTCCCTTTTATTACTTCCAAATTTTCCAAAAGTTTGGAAAGAAAGAAGATGGATGAATCAATCAGTAACAACTACAAGGAAAGCCTCCTGCAAGATCAATCCTCTTCAAGAACCAAAAGGAAACTACGTTTGATAATCTGTCTGGTAACTCTCTTCACTCTCATAATTGCTGCTATCATCTCTGCTTCAGTAATACTTAAACAAGAAACAGAGTCCAAATCACTGTTCTTTAACCCAACAAATGCTATTACAGCAGTATGTGAGCTCATCAGCGAAGATCCGGACTCGTGCTTTGACTCTATTGCTTCACTTTATGATGCCCAAATCCCATTATTATCATCTTGGTCAAATGGAGATTCTAGAATTAACCCATCTCGGATCTTTATTCTTTCGCTTTATGCATCAAGAATTGTGCTTGTGAATGTCGTTTCCTCAATTGAAAAGACAATTTCAGTCAACCCCAAGACTGTTGGGGTGTTGAGAAATTGCCAAGGAATGATCAGATTCTCTCTAAAGCAACTCAATGAATCAGTAGTGAGTTTGGGCGTTGACCCAGATGAGAAAATCCTGACAATTAACAAAGTTGTTTGGGATTTGCAACGGTGGATTGGGGAGGCACAGGGTCAAGTACAGAGGTGTGTTGATTTATTGGAGGACATTCCGTCGACGGTTGCGGTGAATATTAATGCAGCCCAGCAAAACATGAGGAACAGTAGAGGAATATTGCGAAAAGTGGATGACATTTTCGACCTGTTTTATCCAAGAATAGGAACAGCATTAGGTTCTTTAATTTTGGAATTTGAGTATGGGCTAACTGTTTGGCTCTTTTGCTTTGAGTATTTGCTCTTGGTTTTTCTTTTTTGCCTGGTTTTACGTATATATTGATCTCCATTTAGTTCCAATTGTCATTTTTCCGTTGCTGTGACATGTTTAATTAATTCCAAAAAGTGAGATGAAAGAATCTTTTTTCTTTTTGGTCGTCAAAATAAAGAATCGTTTCTGATAATTTTGCCTTTTTAGTATGGTCAATTAATAGTCTCCTATATTCACTTACAATTTAACTTAAAAAAGATAACTCTACAAATATTTTATATTATTTTTACAGATCTGTCATATATAACATTAGTAATATATTACAAAATAAAATTCCCCAATTAGCTGTTTAAAAGGAGCTCAAAATTTCTCTTTTAACTAAACCATTTGGTTAATAGTCTTGGACTATTCAGAAACTTCTTAGTAGTAGAGTTTACTAGCCCTTGGTTAAGTGCCCATTTGGCCATGAAATTTTTTTCACTTTTTTTTTTAAATCAGTGTTTGACCATAAAATTTTTAATTTTCACTTGAAAATGAATTTTGAAATATTTCGAAAATTTTAAAAACTACAAAAAACTATTTTTTAAAATTTTTACTCAAATCACTCACAAAAATTTAAAAACTAATAGAGAGCTTAGCTTGCCCTACACTTCTAAATAATATGACCAAGGGCTAGTAAACTCTACTACTAGTAAGAAGTTTCGAATAGTCTAAGAGTCTATTTGGACATAAGAAATTTTTTTCTTTTTTCCAAAATTTTTTAATTTTTTTTTAAAATCAACTTTTGTTCATAAAATTCTTTTGGTTAAAATTCAAAATCCATTTGGTTAATAGTCTTAGACTATTCAGAAACTTCTTAGTAGTAGAGTTTACTAGCCCTCGATTAAGAGCCCGTTTGGCCATGAAATTCTTTTCACTTTTTTTCGAATTTTTTTTAATTTTTTTTTTAAACCAGTGTATGGCCATAAAATTTTTAATTTTCAATTGAAGGTGAATTTTGAAATATTTCGAAAATTTAAAAAGCTACAAAAAATTATTTTTCAAAATTTTTTCACTCAAATCAGTCACAAAAATTCAAAAACAACCCAAAATTATATTCATATCCAAATACAGCTCTAATTTTCAAAAAATATTTTTACTTATAAAAAACATTTCAGTTTCTCTCGAAATTTTATAATTCGTGTCCAAACGCCCACTAAGGTACTTGGCTCTCAAGAGTCAAGAATCAACTGCTGAATAAAGTATTTCCCACTTTGACTTTTGGAAAAGCCAGACATAAAGGAGGAGTTGACCAAGTCTCTGGCCACTCACCCCTTAGCACAATATTTTTGAAATAACCAGAAAAAAGCCTCAAGAATTCAGTTCTAGGCATGGAATCGTTCTCCCCCAACAAAATCTCAATGATATCAGTTAAAGATAGCCATAATTTGAATGATCAAACGTACTCAAGAAGAAGAAAGCAACAGCTCAAGTTGTTTATCGCATTAATCATCTTTCTCATCCTCATATTCGCTGCCATTATCTCTGTTTTAACGATGATTAAGCGAGATTATGAATCTGAGTTACCTGCCAATAACCCACACAAGGCAATCGAATCCATTTGCTCCCTGACTCCGTACTACCAGGATTGCTTCAGGTACATGTCTAATTCCCTCTACAAAAATAAAAACCAATTATCATCATCATCAAAAATCGATTCATCTAAGATATTCTCCTTATCTCTTCATACTGCAATTAACGAGCTCAAAAAATTCACTTTGTTTCTCAAATCGAACAATTTCCCTAATGATCAGTCAACCCCAAGTCAATGCGAGTCTTTATTCAACAGTTCAGTGAGTCAACTGAACAGTTATTTGGCGATTATCAACGAGAAAAATTTGACAGTAAAGATGACCTTGAGATCTGAAATGATGAGCTGGCTTGAAACTGAAAGGCCCAAAATTGGGAGTTGCTTGTATTGGTTGGAGTACGAGAAGGAATTGGATACGAAAAACGCAAGAAATAGCTTAATGATTCTGGCAAATATGAACAAGATTAATGAGATGTTTAACCCGTCGATTACTAGTGTCCTAGGTTTTGATTTATTTCGACGCTCGGGGAAAAGCATCTTTGCTTTGTTTCTGTCGGATAAGGAATTCGTAGGTACCGTATGTATTTTTGGATTGCAGTTTATTTTTTTGCTGCTTTTGGTCTGTCTGCTTTTACGTGTATGGTGATACTACATATGTGATTCAATTTGATGTATTATGTGGTTCCTCACTGTTTCGGTTCTCTGGAATTATGAATAAAATTATTACGAGTGTTTCGTTTATCGTTATGCTGTTGTTTCTTTTGTTCGAAATTACCAAGTATATTTCAAGTTATTCAGGGAAGATAACTATAAAGGTTTTTTCCCCGATCAGATTGATTCAGAAAAAGAATTGAACTGAAAATGGGTAACTCTAACTTTTTCTTTTCGTCGAATAGTTTACCACTTTACTGGAGCAGTCTATAGGTTAATTACTGATTTGTTATGCCTCTTTACTCAGTCAGCTCGCCCTTAATGTTTATGGTTTAGAGACCTTTTATTCCTTGGGTATATAGTCATGGCCTCTTCGAGTCATCAAGTAAGTCGAGGAGTACTTTGATTTTAAGAGAACTTTATTACAATCATATTCCGATTCACAATTTGAACTTTATGATTTCAAATTCAAAATTCTGCCACTGCACATCTAATTTACTGGATTTAAAATTTATTTTTGCACTTATTTAGTTGGGTTTTTAACACATATACAGAGCCTAAGTCAAAGTTATTGGGTTCAGATGAACCCGTAATTTCTTCATTGGCTCCGTCCCTGATTACAAGAATAAATTACTATACATTTTAATCCAAGATTATACCTTCTAACTTAAACTTCAAGTACAAAATTTAAGAAAAACAAAGAGTTAATAAAAAGAAATTAGAAAAAGTAATTGTCCCGTTTTATTGTAATACTACTATTTTTATTTTAACAGTCAAGCCATAATCACTATAGTTTTGCTATTAAATATGTAAATAATATTTTAAATATATAAAATTACCATCCAAATTAAACTTATTTGACTGGAATAATGGAAGATTTTTGAAACTTATGGTTTAAAATAACTCATAAATATTTATGTAAATATAAATTATCTTATTAAGTATAAAATGAGAAATTTAAAATTATATTATTTTTAAATTTAAAAATAGACCATTCTTTTTGAACGAATTAGAATTAGAAAGAAAATGAATTAATTCTTTTTTAAATAGAGGGAGTATTATACTGATCTTGTTATAAAATAAAAGCAATTTAGTAAAACATGAATAAGAAATGTTGTTATGAAATAAAAGCAATTTAGTAAAACATGAACAAGAAATGGAGATAGAGAGAATGAAGAGATTTTCTTCTTCAATTGTGTGTATTTTTTTATCTATTACAAGGTCTTTATATAGGCATGAAAAGTGAAGAAAAATATGTCATTGAATATGTCATTAAGTATAGAAATATGTCATTGAATATGTCATTAAGCATTTAAGAAGATCATGGAGGAAGAGTAGACATCCACCATAATTTAATTTTTCTTATAACACTCCCCCTTGAATGTCCATAGATAATGTGCCTCGTTAAAATCTTATTAGGAAAAAACCCTATGGGAAAAAAAATCTAGTGAAAGAAAAAGAGTACACATGTTTAGAAATACGCCTTTTGGTTTAAAAACCTTGCAAGAAAAACCCATTGGGACAAAACCTTGTAAGGAAAAAAGAGTACAACGCGTATTAACTCCCCCTGATAAGAACATCAATTCACATCTTTGAGCTTTCGCATCCCAATCTTGTACACTAGTTTCTTGAAGGTTGACGTCGGTAGAGATTTGGTGAACAGATCAGCCATATTATCACTTGAACAGATCTGTTGCACATTGATATCACTATTCTTTTGAAGATCATGTGTGAAAAATAACTTTTGTGAAATGTGCTTTGTCCTATCCCTTTTTATGAATCATCCCTTCAATTGGGCTATGCATGCTACATTGTCTTCATATAAAATTGTGGGTAGTTTGTCACACTTCAAACCACATTTGTCTCGAATAAGGTGTATTATAGACTTCAACCATACACATTCTCGACTTGCTTCATGAATAGCAAGTATCTCAGCATGATTAGATGAAGTAGCCACGATTGATTGCTTAGTCGATCGCCAAGATATGGCAGTGCCTCCATATGTAAACACATAGCCTGTTTGAGATCGAGCCTTGTGTGGGTCATATAAATATCCAGCATCGGCATAACCAACAAGATCGAGACTGCAATTATTGCCATAAAATAATCTCATATCGGTAGTCCCTTTTAGATACCGCAATATGTGTTTGAATCCATTCCAATGTCTCCTTGTAGGAGCAGAGCTATATCTTGTTAAGACATTAACTGAAAAAGTTATGTCAGACCTTGTAATGTTAGAAAGATACAATAGTGCACCAATTGCACTAGGATATGGTACTTCGGGACCAAGAAGCTCTTTATTATTTTTATGAGGTCGGAATGGACGTGCTTTATCCATATAAAATCGCTTTAAAATCATGTTAGTGTATGCTGATTGATGGACAAAAATTTCATCTTTCATATACTCAATTTGTAGACCAAGATAAAATTTTGTCTTTCCAAGATCTTTCATTTCAAATTCTTATTTTTAAATAATCTACTGCTTTAGGAAGCTCCCTAGGAGTTTCAATGATATTTAAATCATCAACATACACGGTGATTATAATAAATTTAGATCCAGATCTTTTTATAAAGACACAAGGACAAATTGAATCATTCTTATACCCTTCTTTCAACAGGTGCTTACTCAGTCGATTATATCACATGCGCCCTAATTGTTTCAATCCGTATAAAGATTTTTTGAAACTTTATTTAATAAATTTCTTGGAAACCTTAATATGTTTCAGAACAATTTAAATCCCTCAATGATTTTCATTATACGCATATCACGTTTTTCTTCTATTGCCAGATTAAAACCTGAAATGGCGACATCCACCACAGGAGAACATGTCTCTATATAATCAATGCTAGG